CTGGGGGTCCCCAGGTCGGTGACGGTGATGGTGATGTTGTACTCGGCTCTTGTCTCTCTGTCCAGTGCTTTTTCCGAAACTAGAGTGAAAAAGTTCTTGAAGGTTGGTTTCAGGAAAAAGGGGAGCTCATCCTGAATAGAGCAAACCATCCTCCCATTATCCCCAGCGTCTTGGTCTCGGACACTAAAAAGAGCAACCAGAGTCTCTGAGGCATTCTCTGGAATTGACTTTGTAAATGATGAGATGGTGACTTCTGGTGGATTATCATTTATATCTATTACTTTAACCAGCAGAGTACATTCTTCGGAAAGACCCCCACCATCTGTTGCCTGAATATTTATAGTGTAGAACTGTATTACTTCAAAATCCAGGCATGATCTCAAATGAACTTCCCCCGATACTGGATTGATTTCAAATGTTTTACGAATATCTTCTGATGCATGCAAAAATGTGTATGATATTTTCCCATAATTTCCTGCATCCAAATCATTAGCAAAAATGGTGATAATCCAGGCCCCAACAGGTGTGTCCTCCAGAACATGCACTTCATAGAGCCTCTGAGCAAACTGAGGGGCATTGTCATTGATGTCCAAGACCTTGATGAGAACCAAAGTCGTCCCAGACCTGGGTGGAGATCCACCATCCAGTGCTGTGAGTGTTAATGTGAGCTCAGACTCCTCCTCATGATCTAATGCTCTGTCCAGGACCAGTTCTGGGTACAACTTTCCATCACCGTTGTCTCGGATTTTAATGTAGAAATGAGAATTGAGGCTAATTGTGTAGTTTTGGAGACTGTTGGTTCCTACATCCAAATCTTGGGCACTCTCCATTAGGAATGTGGCTCCAATACTGGTACTTTCTGATATTTTAATAAGTATTTGCTTGTCTAGAAACATAGGGGAATGATCATTTATGTCTTTGACATGCAGTTCAGCCCGAAAAAACTGTAAAGGGTTTTCTAATACCATCTGAAAATGCAGCACACAGGGCTCGGTGGAGCCACAGAGCTCTTCTCGGTCCAGTTTCTCATTTAGGAGCAAATCCCCCGTCAGTAAATCAAGTTGTAAGTGCTTTTTGTTATCATCCGACACTACCCGGGCCTCCCGTGATGATAGCTCCTCCACCCCAAGCCCTAGATCCCTTGCAAGATTGGCCACAAAAGAACCAACTTCTGTTTCCTCTGCCACAAAATATCGCACAGATTCAGGACCTGCCTGAGATAATCCCAGCAAAACAAAGAAAATCAGGACTTGCCTTTTCCGCAGAGCTAGCTCCCCTTTGATCTCCATGGTTCCTTCCAGCAGCCTCTTTTGCAGAAAAAATTTTCAGCCCTAATTTTGGAAACTGAAGCTCAATTTTTAAAAAATAAGAACCCCCCTGGAGGGTATATAGCCCTCCAGCAGCTTTAGTAGATGAAGCTCCTTTCCTATTTCTCTTTTCAGTGGCTTGGATTGGTCTCTGTTCCCCTCAATGACGAAGCCCACAGTGTTGTCCATGCGCTAATTTCATCTTATCCTACAGCGCCACCATGTGTTTCTACGACTTTTTTTCAGTAAAAAAACTTTTTTTCTCTTTGAACAAATAATTCATGAATACAGCTGAAGTATTTTAAAGCAAATCCCGGACATCATATATCTTTACCTCTAAATACTTCACCAAGTATCTCTAATAGAGAAAGACTTTAAAATATAATGATACCACTATTACAATCAACAAAGTTAGCAGTAATTGCTTGATATACTTATACCCAGTCTGTATTTGGTTTTCCTCATTTTTCTCTAAAATGTTTTTTACTGTTGGTTTGTTTGAATCAGGATCCAAACAAGATCTATACAGGGCATGTAATTTGTGCTGTTTTGAATGCTGACAAGACTCTAGTAAGATGTCCTGAACTGAAGAGGTTTGGGGGGGGCAGATGTTCTGAATTGAAGAAATATGTCCTGAACTGAAGAAATAATATTTTATTTAGACCATTTCTTTTTTAAGTAACTTTTTAAAAAAGATTTTATTTATTTATTTGAGAGAGAGAGAGCATGAGAGGGAAGAAGGTCAGAGGGAGAAGCAGACTCCCCGCCGAGCAGGGAGCCCGACACGGGACTCGATCCTGGGACTCCAGGATCATGACCCGAGCCGAAGGCAGTCTCTTAACCAACTGAGCCACCCAGGTGCCCTAAGTAACTTTTTAAAAAAGATGTTTATTTATTTATTTGAGAGAGAGATCGCAGAGCCAGAGGGAGAAGCAGACTCGCCACTGAGTAAGGAGCCAAGGAGGGGCTGGATCTCAGGACCCTGACATCATGACCTGAGCCAAAGGCAGATGCTTAACCAACTGAGCCACCCTGGTGCCCCTAGGCCATTTCTTGAGAATTTCAAATATATGCTCTCCTCCACTCTTGTAAATACTTTTGAATTCAGTCAATTATAGTTAGTAATGTCATTACTTTTTTCACTTACATAGTTTTAAAACACCCATGTAAGAATATGGAATAAATAAGATAGATTTAATCCTTGCCTTTATGGAGTTCACTGGCTAAAAATTTGGCAGACAAGTAATTGAAATATTTCACAACGTATGCATAAGTAAAGAGTAATACAGAAATATCTAGAAGAGCCATCTTGTACCTAGGAGGCAGCATAGCGCATGAACATGGATTCTGGAACCAAAATATTTACATTTAGATTCCTAGTTCTACTACTCACTATCTTCAGTCTTGGAGATACTACATTACAATTATGTAGCCTGTTTCCTTACCTGTAAAATAGGGGTGAAAATGGTAGGATTATAGGATTATTATCACAGGAATCTAATGAACTAATATTTACAAAGTTCTTAGTAAGTGCTAATTAAGTATCTATCAAAAAATAAATAAAATCTAGGTTAGATTTTTGAACATCAGCAAAAGCTTTCCTAAGGTAATAAGCTGTAAGTTGTGATCTGACAGGAGGAGGAGTGTTTCAGGCAGACATTTTGAAGAACAGAGAGAAGCTAAATATGCCTTGAACTTTAAACCATAGAAGGGAAGAATTTAAAAATGAGACTGGGAAAAAAGGGTGAGGACATAAATGATTATACAGGTTGTATCACAAATTTAAATTTTTATTTTATGGGTAACTAAAATATGATGTAGGATTTTAAACATTTGATTAACATGATTTCATCTGCATTTTTTAAAGATCAGTTTAGAAGAAGTATAGAGAATCTATTTCAGGAGGAATGACTGGAATCAGAGACACCATTTAGGAGATAATGGTAGCCCAGTTAAGGGTAATGCTGGTGTGGCTGGAGAGAAGAGGATGATTAGGAAGAGATTTAGGATCTGGTGACTGATGGGTTGCATGGGGAGAACAAGAAGAAAGATATGAGGATGATCAACACACCTCTGGATTGGACAACTGAATGGGTAGTCATGTCATTTTCTGAGACAAGGAACACTGAGGAACAAAAAAGATTGAAGTGAAAAAAGATGAAGTCAATTTTGGATATGCTGATATTGAGTTAAGTGCCTCTGGGCTATATGTATGTGTGTTCTCACATGCATGTGCCCGTGTAGAGTAGTATGTATGTACATATATAACTGAAGCATAGCATATAAACTGGGGTATATATGGACTTTGAGTTTCACCAGTATATATATGGTAATTGAAACCATGAGAACTTTTTTTTTTTTAAGATTTTATTTATTTATTTGACAGAGAGAGAGAGAGAGTGAGAGAGGGAACACAAGCAGGGGGAGTGGAAGAGGGAGAAGCAGGCTTCCCGTGGAGCAGGGAGCCTGATACGGGGCTCGATCCCAGGACCCCAGGATCATGACCTGAGCCGAAGGCAGACGCTTAACGACTGAGCCACCCAGGCGCCCCGAAACCGTGAGAACTCTAAGATAACCAAGCAAAAGTATGTCAGGTAACAATTGAAGAGGCTCAGCATAGAACTCTGAAAAAAACACCTTCATTAGAGGAAAGAGGAAATAAAGTATCTTTAAAAAGACAAAGAAGGCCCTGGGTTCAGAATAATGAAACTAAAAGCAAATAGCATTTCAAGGAGATGAGGAAGATCAATGGTAGTAAATGCTTCAGAAACCACCCCCCCCCCAAAATGGACGTTAAAATGGTTGACTGGATTAAGAGGATGGTCACTGTGGAGGGTTCTAATAGATACCTGCCAAAATCTCTTCCCTTTAGAGTAATAGCATTGTATGCAGGCACATGACTACTCATAGATTGCCTGTCCCAGTCTCCCTTGTAGTTAGGTATTGAATTGAATTAAGTTCTCACTAATATTGTGAGCAGAATTTTTGTTTGCCATTCCTAGGTCTAGAATAGAAGACATCTGGATGGGTTTCCTCCCTCCCAGCCAACTAGAACCTAGATGTGGCAGTGATGAGGCTACAGTCATGCAGATTATGACATTGCAGTAGGGAATGTAGGAGCGGTTACTTGCAACAAAATTTGGTTCTGGAAGGATTGTAAGGAGCAAAGTTGGCTCCTCTACCCAGTCATTTACTGTTAGAAGGAGATACACACTTTTGAACTATTGAAGGAGGTACACACTTTTACAAGCCACTGGGTAGTTATACTGCTTTGTTCAGCAATATAACCTTACCCAACTTTTACAGAAAACTTCAGTCACCTTTACAAGAGTAGTTTCAAGTCATGATCTCGAGGGTCATGAGATCAAGCTCCACATAGGACTCCGTGCTCAGTGCAGAATCTGCTTGAGATTCTCTCCCTCTCCCTCTGTCCCTCCCCCCGACTTGTGCTCTCTAAAATAAATAAATAAAATCTTTAAAAAATAAAGTGTACAATGCAATGGGTTTTAGTATATGTCCAGATTTGTGCAATTATCACCACAGTCTAATTTCAGAACATCATGCCAAAAAGAAGCCTCTTACTCGTTAGCCACTCTCCATCCCTTACCCTCCCTACAGCTGTAGGCAACTACTAATTTGCTTTCTATCCCTATAGATTTGCCTGTCCAGAACATTTCCTATAGATGGGATCATACAATGTAAGATATTTTGCAACTGGCTTCTTTCACATAGCCTAATGATTTTGAGGTTTGTCCATGTTGTAGTCTGTATCAGTACTTCATTCCACTTTGGTGTTGAATAACAATCCCATTGTATGGAGACACCATATTTTATCCATTCATCAGTTGATGGACATTTGGGGTGTCTCCACTTTTGGTAATATTATGAATAATGCTACTAAACTGCATGTATACAGTTTTTGTGCATGTGTCAACATATGCTTTTTTTTATTATGTTATATTAATCACCATACATTACATCATCATTATTGATGTAGTGTTCCAGGATTCATTGTTTGCATATAACACCCAGTGCTCCCTTCAGTACGTGCCCTCTTTAATACCCATCACCAGGCTAACCCATCCCCCCACCCCCTCCCCTCTAGAACCCTCAGTTTGTTTCTCAGAGCCCATAGTCTCTCATGGTTCATCTCCCCCTCCGATTTCCCCCACCTTCATTTTTCCCTTCCTACTATCTTCTTTCTTTTTTAACATATAATGTATTATTTGTTTCAGAGGTACAGGTCTGTGACTCAACAGTCTTACACAATTCCCTGTGAATTGTGCTTTTATTTCTTTTGAATAGATACATAGGAGTTGAATTTCTGCATCATAAAGTAACTATATGTTTGACATTTTGAGGAACTGCCAAACTGTTTTCAAACAAATGCACCACTTCACATTCCTTCCAGCCTGCAGCAGTTTCTCTGCATACATTCCAACAGTTATTATTGTCTTTTTGATTATGGCTATTCTAGTGTGCATCAAGTGGCCATTTTTATTTTTCACCTTCAGTAGTCTATGCATCTTGTCTGGTATGCTAAGGTGCTATAATGCTTTTTATCTTTTTAAGCTAGTGATCATACATCTTTTCCCTACTAACTGCAGTAAAGGCAGGAGGTAATCTTAATACTTTACTTTGATTTATGGATTTCATATGAATTTTCGTTCTCTCTGTAAAGCAGCTTTTCATTTGGGGGGGGGGAACGAACTTGCTCCTAGTTCCACTTCTAAAGATAGAAAATTAGAATTTAATTAGCCTGCATGGACAAACTTCTGTTCCCTCCATTTTTCTCGAATTCAAAGAATAATCACTCCATGCAGTTCAGAAGAACTGGTAGTGAAATCTCAGCTTTCAGAAAGTGCAGACATTAGATTATTTGGGATATGCTACAGCAAGAAATTCTACTTCCTGACATTATTAACTAACTAATACCTACCCTTGCTACAGTGTTAAGGTAATGTTTTTAAAATTATTGAAAAGGTACTTTCTGGCAGTGATTCTAGTCTGTGGTACTATAGGCAAAAGAGCCATCATGCTCCTTACCCTCACCCATTTCATCTTTCTTTTTTTTTTGTAAAG